GCTTATTTGGGGGGTAGGTCTTATTTTCGGGGAAACACGGTAGTGGCTCTGTGGTGAGATTGCCCTTAGTAAAGACAGTTCATACTTACACACAGAGGAAAAAGGAGGGACAGATAAAAGTTGATGTCAAAGTGGAAACTTGTAGCAGGCTTATTCTGATCACTTCTGTTTCCTTAGTGAAATGGAGAACAAAATCATCAATTGAGAGTCAGAATGAAGGAGAATTTATGGAAGGTTTGAGAAAAAAAGAAAGACATGAAATAATCCTATGAGAACAGGCAGAGCGAATGGACTAGTTAAAAACATTAGGTCTGCCAGGACCCACTAGAGGTTAATGTTCATGAATATAAAGTGAATGTGTTGTGGTCATATATTTTTCTAACCATGTTCAGCTATGATGGTGTGGGTAATTAAGTAGTTGGAAATGGGATTTGCTTATTAATTTATTTATTTATTTTTGAGACAGAGTCTCACTTTGTGGCCCAAGCTAGAGTATAATGGCATCATAGCTCACAGCAACCTCAGACTGTCAGGTTCAAGTGATCCTCTTGCCTCAGCCTCCCAAGTAGCTGGGACTATAGGCACCCGCCACAATGCCCACTTACTTTTAGAGACAGGGTCAAGCTCTTGCTCAGACTGGTCTTGAATGTCTGAGCTGAAGCAGTCTACTCTCGTTGACCTGGAAAATGGGATTTAAAGGGGGTTGTAGTTTAGCCTGGTGAATAAAGCAAAGCAAGAAAGGCAAAGAATTTGGGGATATATGCAAGGAAGGAATTTTGATAATTGACCTTGGGCTTTAAATACAACAGAGAGCAAAGAAGAGACATTAATGGGGAATGTGGATCAGTGAACAGCAGGTAAGAAAATAGATTGTAGGCAGTGCCCTTAGCTCAGTGGGTATGGGCACCCACCATATACACCGAGGCTGGCAGGTTTGAGCCCACCCTGGGCCTGCTAAACAACAATTACTGCTACAACCAAAAAATAGCCAGGCGTTGTTTTGGGCACCTGTAGTCCCAGCTACTTGAGAGGTTGAGGCAGGAGAATCACTTAAACCTAGGAGTTTGAGGTTGCTGCAAGCTATGATGCCATGGCACTCTACCAATGAGACTCTGTCTCCAAAAAAAAAAAAGAAAGAAAAGAAAAATAGATTGTAGGTCCTAGTGAGGCTAGATTATTTGAGTTGGGGTTCTAGAGGGACTGAGCTGGAAAGATAAGAGGTGGTGGTTAAAGAATGAGATATTTGAAATCGAGATTCTAGAGGGATGAAATTACTAGAAATAAAGTCTTGGATATGTTCATTGGAGTAAGTTACTAATGGAAAATGGAGGCTGTAGTCATTCAAGGAGAAGAAAACAAAGAATGTGGGAACCCAGGGTGTTGGAAGGATTACCCTTGAGGATACTGAAATCAAGAAGCACGGCCATAGTGATGACAGAATGATAGTGAGTTATGAGTTAAAACCTTCAAGGAGTGGAAGGAAGTCAGCAAGTCCAGGGGTTAGTAGATGCCTTTAGCAAAGAGAAGTAGTGAATGGTAAAGTCTGGTAACATGCAGTTCAAAGCTGAGTGTTTTTATTAGGGCCGGGGAAGCAGCAATGAAGAGTGAGGAGGGCATCTGCCCCATCTCCACCTCCAGGAGCATGAAGCCAGCTTTCAGTTACAACAGGATGGTAAAGAGAAAAGCTGCAGGACTGGTTGAGGACAGTAGAGGTTTTACTAAGTTCCAGAGGCCCAAGGGAGGGATTCTGGGAGGCAGGAAGGTGTATCAGAAAGGGCCAGATACAAAGCCTTCTGGAGACCGAGTCCAGAGATTATGGGATGACTGATTTCCCTTCTAGTGGGGAATGACGTGAGAGTAGTTCTGATGGCCCCAAGTGAGGGGATGGTGGTGAGGCAGGATGTGTGTGAGAGAAAAGGTGAGGAGGCCTGCCAAGACCTAGTATAATCTTTGGCTCTCTCTACTTCTCAAGACCAATTTGTTGGTTTTTGCCCTTATTTGCTGTATGAGGGCTGGATGTTTGCATTTCTATTAATTGTACATTCTATATCCCTGGAATATATTTCTGGTTCTAGATGATTTTTCCCAGGTAAGTGAGTAATCTTGTGTTTTAATTTGCTACAACTGCTATAACAAAGAACCATAGACTGCGTGGCTTTAACAGAAATTATTGTCTCACAGTTCAGTACAGCGTGCAATAAATTACATTAGATATTCAGCACTTTCATTATAAAATAGGCCTTGTATTAGAGGTCTTTGCCCAACTACAGTCTATTGTAACTGTTCAAGCACATGTAAGGTGGGCTAGGCTAAGCCATGATGTTTGTTGAGGTAGGTGTATTAAGTGTATTTTCAACTTACGATATTTTTAACTTGTGACGGCTTTATTGGAATGTAACTTAAGCATCTGTATTTCCAAGTATGGTCACATCATCAGGTACTGAGACTTAGGACTTCAATATCTTTTGAGGGGACACAATTTAACCTACAACACCCTGGAAACTTTATTTCCTTCCATCAGTCAATCCTAGTCTCCTGATTTTTTTCTCCTGCAATTTTTTTTTTTTTTTTGCAGTTTTTGGCCAGGCCTGGGTTTGACCCCGCCACCTCCGGCATAAGGGGCCAGCGCCCTACTCCTTTGAGCCACAGGCGCTGCCCTCTCCTGCAATTTTTTCCTCATTTTTTCTGTTCAGCAGAAGAAAAAAGTAAAGCTACCCATTCTGTTTGCTTTTCCTTAGATTTAGGAATAATAGAATTCTCAGTATTATTGTCGATTTACCAGTTTGGTAGGAGAGAGGATTAGACTCTGAGCCTTGCTGTGATTGATAATATCTTCAACCTGTCTCCTTAATCATGAGCTTTTAAATTTTACATCAAGATAGTCTTTGTAGGGTTTTGGTGAATTTTTTATTTTAATTTGATGGTAAGTGTTAGAGAAAATTTTATTAGGAAGTTTTAAAGTGCAACCTTAAGCCAGAAGTCATGGTTATCTAACACCTAAATCTAATCATGATGCTTCCCAGCTTAAAATCTATAGTAGCTCCCTGTTCTTTAGAAAATGAAACCTAGGTGGGGTCTCAGAGTGTGATACACCTTTTGGGGGCAAGGCACAATTATAAAAGGGACTATACCTAACAAATGCAATTAGTGTAACCTGGTTTCTTGTACCCTCAGTGAATCCCCAACTATAAAAAAAAAGATGAAACCTAAACTTCATATTGCATAAAACTGCTTCAACTTCCCTGCCCTAAGCCACCACCCTGTACAAGTCAACTAAATTGTACAGTTTTCTTTTTTTTTCTGAGGCAGAGTCTCATTCTGTCACCTTCGGTAGAGTGCGGTGGTGTCATAACTCACAGCAACCTCAAACTCTTGGGCTCAAGTGATCCTCAGCCTCCCAAGTAGCTGAGATTATAGGCACTAACTACAATGCTGGGCTATTTTTAGAGATCAGGGTCTTGCTTTTGCTCAGGCTGTTCTCCGACTCCTGAGCTCAAGGGATCCACCCACCTCAGCCTCCCAGAGTGCTGGGATTATAGGCTTGGCCTGAACTATACAATTTCATATTTCTGATGTGCTATGGCACTTAATACTTCCCACTTTAAAAAATATGCTTCACTTAGCCTAGAATTCGCTTTTGTTCTCCCTTGCTTGATGAATTCTTTTGAGGCATTATTCAGTTCAAACGTTACCTTCCTAGGCAGATACTTTCATTCTGTGTGAGATCTTTCTTCTCCTTCAGCTTTTGTAGCATTTTGTGGGTTTGGCTGTTTTAGCACTCGTCACATGGACTTCCATCCTGTGGGCATTCTGAGACCCCTGTTATCTACAAGGGACAGGTAGTCCTCAGAGTAACCAAAACAAAAAAACCTGTCAGTAATAGGCTTGAATGCTCAGTGCCTACACCAGCCCCACCCATCTTAGCCTCAGTCCTATTCCAGCTTATTCACTGACCCTTTATAACTTTTCATTCTGAACTAATTCAGACTCAAAAATTTACAAAATAATACAGTTTCTAAATATTCTTTACCCAGCTTCTCCTGTTGTTAACATCTTGCATGAGGCTCAGTGCCCATAGCTCAGTGAGTAGGGTGCCGGTCATATATGTGGCGGGTTCGCGCCTGGCCCACTAAACAACAATGACAACTGTAACCAAAAATAGCTGGGCATTGTGGTGAGCGCCTATAGCCCCAGCTACTCAGGAGGCTGAGGCAAAAGAATCGCTTAAACCCAAGAGTTTGAGGTTGCTGTGAGCTGGGACGCTATGGCACTCTACCAAGAGTAACATAGTGAGACTCCCTCAAAAAAAAAAAAAGAAAGAAAGAAAATTTATTTATTTATTTATTTATTTGCATGACCATAGTATTAATACACTTAGAATCAGGAAGTTAACAGTGTTATAATGATTACCTACACTGTAGATTTATTTGAGCTTAAAGTGAACATTTTTCACACTGCTTTTCTTTCTTTCCTTTATTTATTTATTTATTTATTTATGTTTTTTTGAGACAAGGTCTCACTTCAGTGTCCAAACTGGTCATAGCTTACTACAGCCAGCCTCAAACTCAATGAGCAACCTCGTTCACAGGTGTTTTCATGAACTTTGTTCGTGTATATTTTACTATTATTCAGAATGGAGTACTAGAAGTGGGATTGCTGGGTGAAAAGGTAAATGCATGTATAGGTTTGGTAGGTGTTGTTAAGTTTTTCTCCAGAACAGCTTCAAGGATCTATATTTCTGTCAGCAGTGTATGAATGTACCTGTTTCCACGCAGCCTCAGTAACTGAACATGTTGTTATGTTGGCATTGAAATTATTGCACTATAAACAACCAGTCATTTTGGAAATTGTGAGCTTTCCCTAACTTCTGCTGTTTATTTGATTTGTTTTTGCCATTAGAATATACCAAAATAAATAGGCATTATTAGAGCTTCCTTGGATTTTTAAATGTATCTAACACATACACAGTAATGTTTTGTTTTTGTTTTTTCTAATTCTAGGGCTTGCTCCTTTGGTCTATTTGTCAGATGAATGTCATAATTTATTGGCAATAAAATTTTGGATAGATCTCAATGAAGACATTATTAAACTTCATGCATTAATTGCTGCAAGTAACCTCCTGTGGCGACCAGAATCCAAATCAGGAATTCCTACTTTATTTGCTGGAGACTTTTCCATGTTTTCTGCCAGTCCAAAAGAGAGCCACTTTCAAGAGACATTCAACAAAATGAGAAACACTATTGAGGTAAAATTATGTTTTAGCATTACCTCACATTTTGATATTTTCCTGTTTTAATAGTGAAGTGTCAAGGAGGTGGCTTTTGTGCAAATTGCATAATTGAAATAGTATATGAGGGAAAGTTTTGTTAGAAATTAATTGTC